CCGCTGTCACTGGGAAGAGTCCCATCCACACTGCTGGGATCTCTTTAAACCTGGCCTTCTGTGATGGACAAAACTTTTACTACTCCTGACTTAGATTCTTAATTCATTATCACTTCATAGGTAACATTAACATAACATCCAAGAGACCTGGGACTAATGGTCCGATTTAGACCTCTTTTTTATTAGGTTTAGAGTAATTCTTAAGCCAAGTCTTTACAGTGAGTGAGAATTTTTAATGATGAGGAAAATCTATAATTATAAATTATATTTAAATATAAATTCATTATATATGATTAAATAGTTAATGATGAACTATTTACATAACTAAGAACAATTCCATTATGTGTACATTATAAACCTTTCTCCAAATTCTGTTACTGAAACATTACTATTTTATCATGTGCAAATCTTTGAAGCAAAGCTAATAGAAAAGCAACTTTGGTATATGTACACACTATGGAATAAATACTTTGAATCAGCACAAAGGGATGAGACCATTATGTTGAGTGAAATTATCAAATCACCAAAGGACAAATATTTTGAGACCACTGCTATCAGGAAAATAAAAATGAAGATGAAAATATTTTATAACAAATAGAATAGACTTTGGGAATTGCGGGAGGTGGGGGAGGGGTGGGGAGGGGAGGGGGGAGGAGTAGTCCTCAGTAAGTGAACAACGGGAGGTGGAGAGATGAAGCAGTAGGCTAGACAGTTGATGGGGTTACCTTGGGTGAATGGAAGAATGGAAGATAGTAGAAGAGACCATTGCCCAAGGTCTGCAATGAATCCAGATTTTTCTCGTAACTACCTGTATGATATTGGGCCAAGTACTTCACTCTTGTGATGTGATGGCACTCAGCCATGCCATCTTTAAAGTGTGGAGGTTTGGCTAGATGTACTCTGAGATCAATTTCAATTCTCAAAATACTCTATGGTTTTAAATTTTGATTTAGTCACAATGAAGTGTGAATAATAAACAGTATAGTACATTTCATTTCAATTTTGCTTTTTTTTCCAAGAATACTTACAGTTAAGGCTGGTCCAGGAGGTCCCATATCTCCCTACAAGAAATATTTTCAAGAAGTTGTAATTACAATAGTATCTTTTATAGCACCTTTCTTTTTATTTATAAGCTTTCTGAATGTGGCAATGCAATATTTATAGATAAATCTTGAAGAAAAAGAAAATACAATTTCATCTTGATAAAAGTCACTGGATAATACAAAATTTTCCACATGTCCCTTTGCTCTCAGGAGTAAAAAAAATCAACTTGTGAACTTCTATGATTTTTGCAACAGCAAAACTTGTTTTGCAAAACTAAAATAATCAGATTTTCTCTTCCTTTGTGTACTAATCTAAAATTAGAAAGAATATCTTTTCAAATCTGGTTGCGTGCCATGGGAGCAGCTGGGAAGTGTCACCGCAACAGATAATTTCTCACAGAGTTAGTACGGGGATCAGCAGAAATAATAAGTGGATTTCCCCACTTTATGCCTCCCAGCTGCAAGAGTGAAGCAGTACCACTGCCTTTTCTAAAGCTCTGCTGAGTAGGCATTGCACTTGGCATCAGCTGTAAGAGCCTTTGCCTAGAGTTACGTGTTTTTAAAGCACTAAACGGGTTTTGCTGACTTATATGAATACAAATTAACAGGTGGACATATTGTTAATTAAACTATTCAAAATATTTAAAAAATAATCCCTCTAAGTGTTCATTATTTCGTGAGTGGTATGGCACTACACGCATTGTTTTGTCAAGACTCTTTCACCAGGTGCCTGAGTCATTAAGACTATATATCCTGCAGCTCTTGTTCAGAGTGACCTTGAGGAAACAACCTTCATGGAATGGTGCATTGTGGAGGTTGTATTTTCCAGTTCAGAAAAGCTTTATGAATGACAGTGTCAATTTTTCATCTAGTCTGATGGTTTCAAAAGTTAATACTTAAATTATGTAATTATGACCTGTTGGAAAACTGAAATTTTAAAAGCTATTGAAAAATAGTAACTGTCTAAATCGGTCACTGTAGAGGTAAATATTGAACACTGACAATGTGACTTAAAGTGCTGAGGATGGAGAACAAAACAACGCAAATCACACCCACCCACAACTCTCACGCAAATGGAATCAACTAATTGATCACACCTGAAGCACCTCTTGCTTTTTTTTAATTGTCCTTTCAAAGCCATGCTAATACACCTTTGTGAAATAGCACGTAGATAAAGAAGAGGGAAAATGGAGCACTTGGACTAAATATTTGCCTCCTTTTCTGAAAGAGCTACTTACTTCCCCCTCATGTTAGTAGCTCAGTGTTGTTGGCAAACTCCACTGAGATAAGACACTTGCTAATTTGGTGATGGCATATTTAATTCTGTTAAGCAAGGGAAAGAAAAGGCAATCTTGTAAACATGAATTAATGTTAAATAACCAGTGTGCAGTTAGTCTCTTCAAATCAATTAAAAGGTCCACAAGGCTTTTATTGTGCCTTGGGTTAATTTTAAAATGCCTCTGGCTGTTAAACATTGTCCACGAGCAGTCCCTGTACAGGTTCCATGGAGCTCTCTTGAGGAACGTCACATTGCTGGGTGACTACTATACCTTTTCTCCTTGCGGACCAGGTGGACCACGGGGACCCATGTCACCTTTCAAACCCTGTACAAAGAATACAAGCAAAGTGATTTTTACAGTTTGCAGAAAGTTTCAATTTCGAACAAGCCATTAGTAGCAAAATAAATCATAAACGACTGAACCCTCCACACCCATTGCTGGGCTTGTCCTACGGAGAGAAGCAGAGACAACTGGCCGTAAAATGATAAGCCACATCTGTGCTGTGCTGGGTATGGATACATTCAATCAGCACCAACCCGCAATACTGCATATTTGTGCAACTTTGCTTCCTGCTAAAATTACATTAATTCACCATCTGGGAGAACATCATTTAAATCTATATGAGTTTTTAAGTATCTACTTAGGATTAAATTTGTGGATGTTGTAAATACCTCTGATTTAGCATTGATTTGGCCTTTCAAAATTTGCCAAAAAAATTAACAGTTAAAACAAAGACACTTTATTTCTCTACCAAGAAATCAAATAGTCAAGGGGAAAAGATTGAAGAATGTTTTTATTGTTTTTGTTTTTTCAGAAATCTGGGATAATAGGTAATCACTTTCTTATTTCAAAAGTACGTTGTAGTTTTTACATAGATGTAGCAAATAAAACTATATAAATCATAGATATCAGATAAATATTCTCACAATTTCTCCCCTAGTTTCTTGAGTATTTTAATGGGTATTTAGTTAATTTGACTCAGAAATGACAGCTTTCAGGAATCCCACCATAGCTCTCAGTGGAGACCAGTTCCACGACTCAACAGTATTTATAGTGTAAATAGAAACATAGATTCTGTTTGGTAAGTAGCAAAACAAAACCAAAAAATCCTTTTTACTTAACATATTAGATAAAGAAAGAATAATAATGGTACGAAGAAATATTCTTAAACCCCATGCCAAAAAACCCTGCTGCTCTTGAGTTAATTCCAACTCATAATGACCCTACAGGACAAAGGCAACTTGTTCCACAGGGTCCCGTGGCCTGTAACTCTTTAAGGACACAGATCTATCACATCTTTCTCCTGTGAAGTAGCTGGTAAGTTTAAACCTTTTCATTCACAACTGAGCACAGTCACTACTGCTCCATCAAGGCGCCTCAAAACCACCTAGCACACAGTAACTCCAAGTGCTTCATTGCTCCTGCCTATGAGTCCAGCTACCACTGCTCTGACGTTTCCTAGGGAGTAAATTATGTCCCTCCCAAATCACCTATCGCCACTCAATATGATTCTCTGAAAGAACAAAAATTTTGGTTATATTCTTGCTTCATCAGATGGTGTAAGATATGAAAAAATATATATCATTTATTAAGGGTTAATGAAGGTGGGGGGGATAAAGAGGAGCTGATATCAAAGGGTTCAAGTAGAAAGAATGTTTTGAAAATGATGGTGGCAGCATCTGTATGGGTTTGCTTGATTTAATCAATATATGGATTGTCATAATATCTGTAAGAGCCTCCAATAAAATGATCAATAAATTTAAAAAATATATATATATATATTCTTGCTTAAGAAACGAAAACCTTATACTTTTAGAGAAACAGAACAACATATAATTGGCCAAATAATTTTATAGTTGTATAAATACTTTCTTGGCTAAAACTCATAGAGACCCAATGTACAACAGAACGAAACAGTGCCCTGTTCTGTGCCATCTTCACACTTGTTCTTATGGTTGGCTCATTGCTATAGCCACCATGTAAATATATCTTGGCACGCGCCTTCCTCTTTTTTGGGTGCTCTTCGACTTTAACCAGCATGAGGTCCTATTCTCAGAACAGGTCTCTTCTGGTAGTGCAGTGGCTACGATTGGGCTGCTGTTTGCAACCACTGAGCACTCCACTGGGAAAAGATGGGGCTATCTACTTCCACAAAGAGTTAGCCTCAGAAACTCACACAGGCAGCTTTAGCCTATCCTATAGAGTCACTATGAGTCAGCATCAACTCTATGGCAGTGGGTTTGGTTTTTAGGTCTCTCCCTATAACATGCCCAGAGTATGTGAGACAAAGTCACACAACCCTAGCTTCTAAGTAGCATTTTGGTGTACTACTTACAAGACAGGTCTGTTGGTTGCTTTTGCTATACACGATACTTTCAATATACTTGCGATAGGGGATTCTCCTATTATTTGAACATTCATTTTTTTTCCCAAATCAAACAACATGTATTCTATTTATACATGCTACCAGAGTAAAACTTGGCAAAGCATGTTGCGAACACTATGAGAAGAAACTGTGAAATTTCTGTCAATAGATTCTATTATTAATTAGCTCTTTCATTAGTACATTCACTTAATAAAACATTGACTGTCCATCTTGTGTACCAATCACTCTTCTAAGTCTTATCTCTCCCCTGTGTATGTCAATTACCATGAACTACACGTAGCTTTTGAGCACTAAAAATGTGACTAGTCTAAAGTGACATGTGATTTGGGTAGAAAAGTGCATTTGATTTGTGAGACTCGATTCAGGACCAAAAACTAATGAGTAAAGTATCTCATTAAAAATAAAGGCTTGTCTCCGAACAAGCAGCCATCTAAGAGAGATGTCAACTGAGTCCACGTGGAAGAAGCACACCAACATCCGTCACTGAAGGATGGAATCCATGTAACCCAAAGTCAAAGGGGGAATCAGTGTCAGAGGTTAAATTGCGAGAATCTGGTGTTCAGAAGGAGATGGATGACAGTGGGAGCCCAAGAATCGTATGTGGAATGACACAGTAAGTAAGCCTCCAGAGAACTCCGCCAATCTAAAATTGAGGTGGGAGAGGAAAGCACTCACTTGGGAGAGAGGAGTATAGAAGATCAAAGGCAGAAATCAGACCTGAACAATTAAATCTCTGCCAGTAGATTCCCCCCTATGATGAAGGCTGGACCCGATCTGGTTTCCAAAATCATCTGTATTTTCAGTTTGTTTTTTTGTTCACTCATAGTACAGTGCTTCTCAGAAATCCTGTGTCAATGGAGGGGGCCCTCTTGAAGCTGTGTTTTGTGCTTTCCAGTATTGAAATACAGGATTGATGAGCCTATAGGGACAAATAGAATAAGGGGTTCGGGGGAAGGGGATAGCATGGTGATGGTGGGTAAAAGGGAGACGATGTCAAAAAGTCCATGTACAAAAAGAACAGTTGGAAGCTGACTGTGGTAGCAACTGTACAATTCCACTTGATGTGATTGAAATATGGAATGATATATGTACTAAATCCCACCTGATAATAAAAATATATTTATATTAATTACATGTTGAAATTATATTAAATGAATTTCACCTGTTTCCTTTTTCTTTTCCATGTGTGGTACTATACAATTTACAGTTGTTTTGCATTTGTGGGCCTCTGTACAGTGTTGATATGTTGTTGCTGTTGTTACTTGCTGGGTGCATAATCCTAACTCATGATGGCACCCTGTGTGCAGAGCAGAACAGCTTCACTGATCTTTCAGGGCTGGAACGCTGTAGAAGCAGAATTCTAGATCTGCCTACTAACAAACTTCAGGTGGGTCAAACCATCAATCTGTTGGCAAATAGGCTACTTTGTTGTTGTTAAGTGCCACTGAGTCAATTGTGACTCATAGTGACGCTAAGTGACAGCTTAGAATTGTCCCACAGGCTGTCATCCTTACAGAGGAAGTAGGGCTTTCTGGCATGGAGCTACTTGGTTGATTGAACTGGCAACCTTCTAGGTAGCAGTCAAGCTCGTAATCATCTCAGGAGCATCACCAGGGCCCCTGAGATACAAAAAGAACGAGAAATCAATGTTCCTGCCCTCATGGAACTCTTGTTCCCAGAAGCGGATGGCTGAAAATAAACAGCTGAATATGGTAAGCATCAAGGAGAGAGTGGCTATTTCATTTAGTCCCACATAGAGATGCATAAAGGTGACATTTGATATCTCAAAAGAACCCAGCCTTACAAAGAGCTTGGGGAAAGTGTGAAACTAATAACGTTTTTCCATCGAGTCAATGCCAACTCATAGAGACCCTATAGGACAGGATAGTACTGTGTCTGTGGGTTTCCGAGACAGTAATACTTTACAGGCATAAAAAGTCCCATCTTTCCCCTAAGGAGCGGCTGGTGGTTTTAACTGTTGACCTTGTGTCTAGCAGCCCAATTCATAACCACTACACCACCAGGGGAAAAAAGTAGGATAGAGCAAAAAGTGAGCACAAAGGTCCAAGGTGAAAGGAGTATCATGAACAAGTAAAAAAAAAATTGAAAAATTAAGTCAATGTTTAGCAGGACTATAACACATAGAAAAATGCAGTTCATACTAAGGAGGGTGTGTTTTATTTTAAGTGCAAGGGAACATCAATTGTTTTGAGCATGAATATAATTAATATACCTTGACTTGTGTTTTCAAAAATATAAACAAACAAACAAACAAACAAATCACGAACACATTCCAGTTAAGAGTGCAGGACAGCTGGGGCAGGGTGGTGACAGTGGAAAGAAAAAGTGCCTCTCAGGACTTGTACTTAAGCTGGAAGAGGTAATAGGAGAAAGGAGGTTTCTTCGTTACCTAGTGCTGCTATAACCAAAACACCAAACGGATGGCTTTAACACACAGAAATGTATTCTCTCAGAGTTTAGGAGACTAGAAGTCCAAATACTGAGCACTGGTTCTAGGGCAGTGGTTCTCAACCTTCTTAATGTTATGGCCCTTTCATACAGTTCTGCATGTTGTGGTGACCCCCAACCATAAAATTATTTCTGTTGCTACATCATAACTGTAATTTTGATACTGTTATGAATCATAATGTAAATATCTGATATGCAGGATGTATTTTCATTGTTACAAATTGAACATAATTAAAGCATAGTGATGAATCACAAAATAATATGTAATTATATATTGTGAAATATTTCTAATGACAAATAAATGAATTTTTGTCTCTTGAAGCATGGTGTAGCATGGGTAACTGTCTTCACACAGGGTACACATATGTGGGTGTATCTGCATGTGGGTAGACCCGCCTGGAGACGGATAGAGGAGAGGTGTTTTGGTTCCTAAGACCACCAGAGATATGTGTTTTCCGATGGTCGAGGC